TGTGAAAATTTCATGGGATTCTGATTATTATTTCAAAAGTTATAGTAATACAACGAACCAGTCAAGGGTAAAGTGTTTCGTCTTACAACGTATTTTACGATGTTGGAGTGGTTTTAACATTTAGGTAGATCACATCAAACTTTTCGAGGAAAAATAGCATCACTGAAACAAATCAATTTTTGGAAACTATTTGTTTAAGAAAAATAATGGAGAGTGTCTGTTTTTTAAATCTTGGATTAAAAGTGATATTCTTTATGTAAAGGATATTATAGATGTGAACGGCAATTTACTTAAAGAGGAACATATTTTAGGAAAATGGATTTCAGAAATATCTTTAGCCAGGAAAATACTGCAACCTTTCGAAAAAATGATGAAACCTAAAATTGCTAAGTTTGTAAACATTATGAAAGGACAATTTTTTTACACAAATGATAAAAAAGTATTCTTCAAAGATCAAAAATCTAAGTTTTTCTATAATATCCTTGAATATCATAATAAAGAAAGAATGTACACTAAAGATAAATGGAAGATTGATTTTAAATTTCACATAAATTGGAAAATGTATTTTAATAACAAGATTATAGCAATTGTTGATAAAAAAGTAGCTTACTTTAACTTCAAATTATTTCATAATGTTCTTCCATCTTCCATAGATCTTTTTAAGTGGAAAAAAGCAGATTCAAAAATTTGCAATTTTTGTAAGGTTAAAAATAATTTAAAACACATTATTATAGAGTGCGATCAAATAAAAGACTTGTGGATCTATATTTCTTCAAAATTAAAAATCAAAATTTCATGGAAAAATATTGTTATTGGCAATAATATTATTTTTAAAAGAAGTCATGAAAATGTCATTGATCTAATAATATCAACATTTGCATATAACAGCTATAAATCATGGCTCATTAGCAAAGAAAAAAATAGTCCAAGATCATGGAGGAACACATTATATTATTCAATCGCACACCTATGTACGAGGGGGGATTCATAAGTAGTGGGACTTTTCTGAGGCAGCAAGTCCCTGTGTACATATCTCAACTAAATTTGGCACATGAACGGACTAGGATATAAGGCATTGTTTGGTGAAATTTTAATATAATTCATTCTGTTCTCTAGCAACAACGGTTGCTATGGTAACCAAAAGTAGGGGTTAATGGAGCAGTTAAAAATGAAGGGCTTGATCAACATAAATGTGCTCATAAATATCTCAAAATGACAGTTATTTTCAAATATTTGGTTTCATATTGTCTCAAGCCTTGTAGTCATGACAACTGTAACATATATTACATCATCATGCTATTGCAATGTCACACAAAGCAGTGACACCAGGACACTGCCATTTTCCGTCCTTCTTGGATGGAGCAAAATTTGATTAAAATAGCAATGAAAAAGCAAGAATCCGGTATAAACATCCGTGCTGTGATTGAATTTAATGCTTTTGAAGGAGTTTTCAGTATTAGAGACCTATAGAGGTTTGTTTGAAGTCTATGGGAAAGAAGAAGTAAAAAATCTACAGCAGTGGTATTCTGTATCTGCATTCTGAATATGCTATGAGAGCCGAGATGACCAATCTTGGAAAATATGGTTTTGAGGGTGCATACCTAGAATGGTTGAGGAGATGCCAAAAATGCATTGATTGTCATGGCGAATACTTTGAGAAAAGAGTGAGATTGCACCAGAAGGATAAGGAATCAATAGTCTTGCACAGAATTGATGTGCTCCACAAAAGGACTCGCTAGAAGTCACGGATTAGATCACATACTGAATATCAGTTGAGACTTGTATATTTAACTAGCAATTAGTGACAAAAATGTGCTCCGTGGACCCTGTTGTGACGTCATGATTGGAACTCTCACTTTACTGAAGTTGGGTGTAACTTTTTGAAATTTTCACACAATGATTATCACATGTTTGTGGTCCTGTGTTCCAAGTTTGAATAAAATCTGGGTGATATAAGTGAAGTTATAGCATTTGTCCCACTACTTATGAATCCCCCCTCGTATTTATGAAAAGTCAACCTATGAAATTAAAAATATTAAATCATATATACAAAAATTAAAAGAATGAGGTGTTCATGCCGCAGTCTTAGGCAAACCTTTATTTGTAACCCCACTATCCATTCTTTGGGGAAAATTGTACTTTCTATTATTTTGGAATAAAAAAAAAGCATCACTGAAACGCGCATACCCCATAAAGTGATATATGAAATACATGCGTACCAATTTCTCGAATTGTCCCCAGGTCCTTGCACGTCATACTTGCCATTTTAACTGCTTCGAAATAAAATAAAAATTACCATAATATAACATTCATATTTAAGTATATGTTTCCATACAATTTTGCTTCTTTTAATATGTGCTATCAGTATATGAATTTCTGTCAAGTTCCATGACATGACTTAAAATGTTGTCCGACGTATAGAGTCATATTCAACATTTAGAGACCACCCCTTGTACATACTAAAATAATTTAAAACGATATAGTAACCTGATAAAAATGTATTTCTAAGAATTATACTTTCAAATCAGAGTTGGCAGTTCAATAAGCAGAAAGTAATATTTATAATACTTCTGTTACATATTTAAATCAGTCAATAACCAAATCAACACTAAATCAATGATTATTCAACGATCGAATTGGCACGTACATGCCGGGGCGATCCATATATTTAAAAAAAGGATTCATTTATTTTCTAAAGTAAGCCAATATGTGGATCGCCACACCGAGAATTTTAGTATTCTTGCATGAACACTAAAAGTTACCCCCCTATCACACCAAACTAGTTCTTACCCGTTCTTGCCAGTCCTACGAAAACGTCGTCAAACGGGCTCAATCCGGCTGTGGTCGGGAAATATGTCTGAAATAATTAGCTTCTTCGTTCTTAAACAGTCTTCAATACGTCCATCTCGTTCGCAGTTCGTTCAGGTCGGAGTGCATCGTTGTAGAACACGTCCTTAGTCTAGAAGGTCAACATGACCTGATTACAGAACGGTATGGTCGTCATCGAATTTTGAATCGATTCAAAATTCTAAATCACATTCCCGTCTGAGAACGTTCATAAAGTTCGTAAATAGACCTTAGAAAGTTGCAGCTACGTTCATTCCGTTCGCACACAGTTTAAAACCAGTTTTGAAGAACGCAGTGGCAACTTGTTTGGTGTGATAGCTATATTTTTGCTAACTCGTTCATAAGCAGTGTTAAATACGTTCTTAATCAGTTTAAACCCGTTTGCAATTAGTTCTACCTCGTTCTCAACACGTCCGCAGACAGTTCAACTCGTTGTTAAAACGTCCCTAGTAGGATTGAAGTACGACGGTTCCGTTCGTAGTACGTCCAGCTCGTCGTTAGTACGTTGTCACTCGTTCTAATTGTAGAACGTGACGACCACGAGAACATTTTGAGCATTGTCTAAGTTCTAGAGGACCTACCCGTTCGAGTACGTTCGATGAAGTTTGTAAATAGATCCCAAACGGTTCTTAGTAGGTCCAGTCCGTTCGTATACAGTTGAAGCCCGTTTTCGAGAACGCAGTGAGAACTAGTTTGGTGTGATAGTAGGGTAAGTTACATGTGTCGCATGGTCCTTTCTCTTGTCTCATCCGTTGTACCCAATATCATCCAAAAAATGTCAAGAAGAACTTATACGGCTAGCGTTCTATCATGATCCTAATGTATGCACAAAAACTTCCTGCTCTCTTTCATGCTTTTAACAATGCTCTCTTTAGGACATATTTTTTGACACCGATGCATTCTTTAGCATAAAGCATAGACGCGAGAAAGGAATAGCTCTGTTGACTGAACCGTCCTTCAATCATATTTCGTAACCCTACTATCACACCAAACTAGTTCTCACTGCGTTCTGGAAAACATGCTTAAACTGTGCACGAACGGATTTGACGTACTAAGAACCAACTAAGAACCGTTTGGGATCTGTTTACAAACTTCATGAAACTACTAGAACGAGTAGGTCCTCCAGAACTTATAGAGCATGCTCAAATTTTCTGATGATCGTCAAAACGTTGCCGAATCGGTTTTAAACTGTGTGTGAACTGAATGAACGTAGCTACAAGGTTCTACGGTCTGTTTACGAACTTCATGGACTTTCCCGGACGGAAAATGTGATTTAGAATTTTGAATCGATTCAAAATTCGATGGCGACCATACCGTTCTGTAATCAGGTCATGATGACCTTCTAGACTAAGGGACGGTATATACTACGTTGCACACCGACGTGGTGCGACCTGAACGAACTGCGAACGAGATGGACGTATTGAAGACTGTTTATGAACGAAGTAGCTAATCATTTTAGACATATATCCCGACTGCAGCCAGATTGAGCCCGTTTTACGAAATTTTCGGAGGACTGGCAAGAACGGGTAAGAACTAGTTTGGTGTGATAGGGGGGTAAGACTCGTGAAAATGGTGGTGTAAACTCAACATAATTTTTCTAAAACGTTCTAGCTAAGAAGTCTTGAAATGTTGCGTGTAGTGTAAATAGGGCTAGTGGTTATAAAGAACAAGGGACAAAGAGAAAGCATTTCCGCAACAGTTAATTTTATTCACGATGAAAGATTGACGGTTTACATATTAATTCTGCAATTCACCTATCCACGTTTTGTAGCATGACCGCCGTACCTATCGTCGCAAACATTCACTCTCCTCAGCAGGTCCTTACAAACATGTGTAATGAGGTCCCTTTCTTGTCATACCACACTGACTTTATCAATTACTCTTTGATAATGTTCATTCAGATCGTTTGGAAGGGTTGTGAAGACCTCGGTCTTCAGGTGGCCCCACAGGGGGATATCTAGGGGGTTTAAGTTGGGTAAACTTGGGGGATACTCGACCTGGTTATTCAATGCTATGATCAGATTTCCAAAGGGTTCTGTAACATTTTTTTGAGACACTCTGTATAACAATAAATTTAAGCTGCTCATTAATCTAAACAGTATATAAACTAAGAGCATGTAGGTATTCGACATTGAGGAAACACCGGGTACACCTGAAAGGCATCATACGGAAGAAAACTACCGCGCCCAAGCAAATACAATGGCCGGACGTCTGTTAATACTAGCCTTAGCTTTCCTGACTGTCAATGGTAATTACTTATAAATATGATTAACGAGAACGTTTTAAATATTTAATGTTATTTTCGATTAATTAGAGTAATGTGACAATGAGTGTCACTTAGCTATCTGTTGCATAAAAAGCGTGCACATTTTGACACGTAACCAAAGTGCAAAGTGTATACGAATTTAATTAGGAATATTAAGATAGCTTTTTAAATACACCATGGATCTTATTCGAAAAGGAAATTAAATTATAATTTTTTAGCATTGAAATTGTTTCTTTAACCACTGACACAATGACGAACGCCATTTGTAAAGTAGATAAATGATTGGTCTCACTCAAAATGTGTCGACGGGAACTGTTCGGTGATATGTGAGTCAACTGTGTGGTTATAATGACTTCAACTAGAGATACCTAATATTCATTCTTAAATACAAAATAATATTAAGACTGGGCAACTTAATATTCTAAGTAAAACAACATCTAAAACTTATTTCAGATGTTTGACTCATTTTGATATATATTCGCATGGAAAAATTAAAACTAGGAATAAAATGTTTTACAAGAAATACATCCAATCAGAGTGAGGCCACAGGGGCGGATCTGGGAACCAACAAGGGGGGGGGCCCAAACTTGGGGTCTGAGAAAAAAACGTCCGCGCTTGCGCGGAAAAAAATTTTGGGCCCCAAAAACCCAAAAGTGGGCCCAAATTTTGAAATTTTGAGGCCCATTTTCTTCAAAATTTGGCCTAAAATTAAAAAACAAGGCCTTAGAAGGCCAATTTAAGACCTAAAAGGCCTACTTTTTGGGGCCTTAAAGCCTTTTTTGGCTCAAAATTTTTTTTGGGCACAATTTTTTTTTTCTGGGCCAACCCAAGGGGGGGGGGGGGCCCGGGCCCCTGGGCCCCCCCCCCCCAGATCCGCCAGTGGGCCATGTTTCTCTTGGATGACAGTTGATTCCTGGTTAAGAGAAGCTCCCAGTGATATGACTAGCTACTCCCAGAAAGGGATGACTCTGAGCAAGATAGAAAAATTTATCAATTCAATTAATCGGCCTGGCTGTCAGACCACAGAAGTTCCTTGCAAAATTAATGCTTATTTCAATAAGAGATCTCAAACATTGTTTTATTATATTATACAGTTTCTGAGATGCAAGAATAATAAATCATGAATTGCATTATAGTTCAAAAAGTAAAATAGACAATGCATATCTGCAAAATAAGTAAATCGTAATAAAATGCTCCTCCTCTCCTTTATAACATTTCTGTTTTAACATTGTGTAAGTACTATACAATCATTCTTAATCGAAATTCAAAAATAGTTGATGTCTAAGTAAATATAATATTGCAAAATGGAATCCAAATATCATAAGTTGTATTGTGTATATAAACAAATAAACATAAAGTTCACCTTTCCTCAAATGAACCAAATAAATGTAAAATAATACTTTCATTTTTACTTCCATGTTTAGGAAAGAACACATGCGAACACCTTAAATTGTCGGGTATGTCCTTATATTTCAATGGCATATATGGGAACAGAAACACTCCGCATGGTCAGATGCCTACATATGCCCACATCGACGTCAAAGATACTTTTCTGTACTACTCAGTGGATGAGAGCAAATGGATGATCGACGATGATTTTGTTGATTCTCACGTTTTTGCACATTCCGCCACTACATCGACATCCAATCCAGTTTTATCGAATTCGTGGACTGCGGCGGTGGCTACATGGAAAAATCAACCAGATGCTAGATTTAAATGTTTAGATTCAGGTAAAATATAATTTATACTTCTTAGTTCTTATTACATAAACACAGAACACGGATAGTGGGAAGTTCTCCACAATACTGTATATATTTTGAAGGTTATAAAGAAAGAATCAATGTTTCCGCGGAAAAATACTTCCGGTTAATTTAAGACTTATTTTTTACATTAATCTCAGTATATATATAAAAAATGATATTTTTGATTCATCCGTACAGTACATCGCAATACTTATGACTAAAACCAATCCCAGTTCAGTAATCATTTCTCTCGATTCTCTCCGACTAAAAATCTTAAAACTTTAAAGATACGTAGCACATTGGTAAACTTTCACTGCACATGCGTACGTCGAGCTGCAGTAGATAGAGGTGACGCTGCCAAAATGTATAAGGACGCTTTATAGTATGGTATGCCTTCCGAATATGAAGGATCCGTAGCACACTATAGCGCAGCGACATCTGAAGCAATATTTATGGAGGTGCATGTGTCTTGATTCTTGTAAAAGAGCATTTGCTGAAAAAACTTCCGACTTTCGGGATCGAAAACTGTCTTTCATCACAAGGGGTCGAAAAACGTGAATATTCTGATTCGAACTTTTATACATTTTATAAGACACGGACAGTAATTCTATGCATACGGACAAAAATAGATTATTATCATGTAAAAATTTACTTAAATTTACTGTAAATGTCGGTGTTTAATTAGTGTAATTATACAACTGTTAGATTTTGTTTAATTTTCCAAATATGAGCCAAGCAGATTCAACAAAGTTGTGTGGAATATTTAGGTAAATGATGAATGAAAACATACCAGTTATCTTAACATTTAAAACACTTGTTCATGTTTTATAAAACATAATACAATAACAAATAGGTAAGATTTATATCTAATTAAATGTTACAGAGGTATTGGAATGTTCATATATTCTAAAGGCATGTCTAATAATCAATTTGAGTTATATGCAATCGAACGCCCTACAACTTTTCCTCGACATTTCTGCTGGCTATACGTTTTCTGATGGTTGCCTCCTCTTTGACCTTACCGCTTGATATAATCAAATTTCGATTATTCATGAATTCGAACAAGTCTTGATGGTTGCTTTAAGTAAATGAGCTATATCTAACTAAGAAAAATATAATTTTAGTTGTAGTCGCAAAAAGTCGAGGAAGATCAATAGGTCCTCCTTTAATTTAATGTTCCCCGCGGAATAAAAGTCAATCTCAAAACGTTTTGAGACCCATTTTGTGAAAAAAACTAGCATAAGTCAAGCATTTGCCATTCTAATATAAAAGTGATTAATTTGTACTATTCATCTCATTAATAGCTGAGAAATAATACAAAACGTTGATGCACTGATTGCATAATGTTTTGGTACTGATGAGAACAATTACCTCAAAATTATAGCTTGGGAACTTAAATTATTATTCTTTTTTTTCTGCAGCATTGTGTACTCCTGCAAATTACGAAAAATTTGGATTAGTTTTGGGTATTTTTTTTACCTCTGTTAATGACAATTTTTTTACCTCTGTTAATAACCTCGGTTATAATAAAAATTATCATATGTAGGTATGTTAATATTAGGTCAAATGTTGCTACACTATATATAGTGTGCTTCCAGCTCCTTTATTACACGTCATAGATATTTCATACCATGGACTATTACCGTGAATGCTCAATTCCGTACCGAACGGTATTACCGGAATGACTGTCAGCCTCTAGGTTAGTGTGACTGCTCCATAAGGTATATATAAATATAAAAATCTGTTTGATAGCATCACATGTAGAGGCGGAATATTACATATAAAATACTTCCAGGTTTTCAACAATTTTGGAGATTCAAGATGCTGGACTCTATTTATCCTAAGTACAGTATAATGGTGCGGACTTTGTAATTACTAGCCAGTTTAATTTCACCCGTTCAATATACATTTTCGTGGCTTGACTAATGCCTTAATTCACGATTAGTACAGTAAATAAGTATTTAGATCTTCATGTTTTTTGGTTAACCCTAATGTCTGCATCCCTCTTGATTTTTTCAAGAATACATTTTTGCAATTTTTAGCGTCCCTGTTATTGTTTTGGCTTGAGTCACAGATATGAGACACTTTTTGGCGTAACAACCAACTTGAAAGGTGATTGAAAATTTGATATCATTCATAGAAAAAATGAACTGAATTGAAAAGTCATCTATTGTCCTTTTTATTCCCGCCATTTTTGTTTCAGACAATTTTTTAAAATTACAAAAATTGTATCATTTAGAGCAATTTATTGGACACATTTTCCGAAAACTAGTTAAACTTACTGGAAGTCAAAACAGAACTCTGTTATCTTGGTTCAAAAAATTGTCAAAATCCAGCATGGTTTTGTCACTTTTTGTTTTGTCATTTCCTGTTAACTTCCATGGCACCTTAGTATCACGGCACTAATGTGTATGCAATTACAGCACATTAAGTCAAGCTATTTGGTTGATCGAAGCATCCCATAGCTCCCATATTAAACGTATCTACCTAATTGAACATAAAGCTGTCATCATTAACATTAAAAGGTCATGTAAGGTTTGGAGACTAATTGAGCTAGAATGCTCAAACTTTCATACATTCAGTTGACTATACATGTGCCAAATAAATGAGCTCAATATAATGCCGAAGTTATTAAGACTTAAGTGGGTTCCAGTTTTTGTCACCCTGTATTTATAAAGCAATTTGATAAAATAATGATTCAGACAATTAAACAATAGCTTCAGGAAAGCCAACATGAATGGCTATAGAACCATCCAAGAATATGTATAAAGAGTAGCTGAAAAGACATCAACAGCAGATTTACTAAGAGAATTAATCTGTAGGGATGTGTTAGCTGAATGTGTATGATCCTATTAGCCAATGTACCAAAACGCTAAAATAATTCAATTAAAACGATGCTATTATAGTAGAGAAGTTGTGTAAATATTATCAAAGAGTGGCGTAAATTTTTGTATTACTCTGCGGAGTTTGTGCCGATATAGAATTTTAACATCAAAACATACGTAAATATAAAAACGATGTGCCTGAAATTCATGCTAGCTACGACCCATGTATATTTAATAAGTGCACCATTGATGAATAATCACCCATGCCTTATATCTCCCTAAAACAATTCTCATGAGTTCTGGGATACCCTGTTGTTGGAAGTTTTGCTCATGATGCTAACTGGACGTTTATTCTCACTTATTTGAGTTTTTGAAAGGTCAATGTGCAGTATGGCAAGTGATTTTAGACGGTCATATCTTTCATCATGAGTACTTTCTGGCCATCAATACTGTGGTTTTTATTAAAACAATATGTTTTCTTTCAAGTGAAGTCCCCATGGTAGTAAAATATCAATCCGACTCTCTGGAACGTTATGGATAAGAACCCCACCTTGACACTTTTTTCAAAATGTTAGGCTCATTTTCTAAAAAGAGGATCTTGTTTTTCTCAATTCTAACATATCGAAACTTTCTTCTACACTATATTTATTTAACAATTTTTGAAAAGGGGATGTGTATTGAAATGCGTTAAAGTTAAAAACCACATATCCCATGTTGTTTTCTCAAAGGGAAAACTCGTGCTATCCATTGTTTTCAGCATCGTTTTGGACTTTCAATACCATTCTACTTTTGAAGAAGCGTAAACCGCTTGTTGAATAATCTTTTCATGCAATAAAAACCAGAAAAAAGAAGATCCTCTTTTGAGTAAATGACGTGTCGCAAAAAGGTGGCGCATTTGTTTTTTAGGGGTATCGCGTGAATGTAACTTTGATTCCCCGGATTCTAAAATAATATTCTTATTAAAGTTGTATATCATTTTAAAGCTGTTTCGATGAAGTTTTTAGATCAACTACATTCCGTTCACAATTTTTGCGCGTTCTTTTTAAAAAAAGAGTTTTTTACCAAAACATCTGGCAAATATCCCCTGTTGACACGTTACATTTTGAATTATTTTTCGTCGTTAAACGCTCATAACTCAAACAATATATGTCTATTATACTTATTTTTCGTCTTGATAAAGGTAGATAGAAGTTTTATTCCAAAGGATGAATTTTAGTAAGCGTCCAATATTGTGACGTCATAGAGTTTGAAAAATAGAATCTGTTGACAGCGACCTTTTTTGCTCATTTTTTGTTCCTTCAACTTTTCAGGTGTACATTAAACAAAAAATACGAGATCAATTTTTAATAAATCATACATGATTATTTTGCTCTTAAACTCTAGTTTATTAATAAATAGTTGATTTTGTTCGCAAAAGTATGTGTTTTCTGTTGTATGTGGAAAAGTGGAGGACGAAAGGTTTTCAAAATTCATCAAAATAGGGCTAATTTACGCCATTCGCCTATTTTCAAGCACAGCAACACGTATATTTATTTCACCTAAAATATCAATTGATTCGTGGTTTATGATGCTCCTAGCCCATTAACAATATATATATGATATCAGAGTTATTCGTCTAAAATGTTTTGAGATAGAGAGGTAAATGTGGAGGACGAAAGGATTTTCATGTGTGTACATTTTTCTCAAAAACGTCACATTCTACCATGTTAAAAGCGAGGATCCTCTGGATTACGCCACAAAATGTGTAACAATGCGTGCGCGACCTTTTTGCGATACATCAATAAGTTCAACATTATGAAAAAAATGTTGACATGGGGTCCCTATTAATAATTTGTCGAATTGTTCGATTGATATTTTTATCATTATGGGTACTTCACTTGAAAGAAAACATATTGATTCAATAAAAAAACACTGTATTTATGCCCAGAAAGTACTCATGGTTAAAGATATGACTATCTAAAATCACTTACCATACTGCACTCTCTTCATATAGCATAACTGCAAATATAGGCTATTCGTAACTTGTTTTTCTGTCTTCAAAAGTATCTCTGTCGAAGTGATTTGAGTGTCTCCTTGTCAATTACACCTAATTGCATAGGATGAAGTCGGAGAATTTTCTCGTGTTAATTGAAAGACAGCCGACGGGTCTTGGACAGTCAAAAA